CTGCGAGACATGCATGACCCACAGATGGTTTAATAACTTTCCTCATTTGCCAGTAGAGAATTGAGCTTTGCCAAATGGTGGATAATTGTTGTCGTCCAGAAAAATAGGTCACCACTGAATGAATCAATAGGTTATTTATTCACAATTAACCTGCTGTTTACTGCTACGACATTTCCCGGCAACACTAATTGTTATATTAAAGCGTCAACCACATATTGTCAGTTTACACACTGATAACATTTTACCGTCAATGTGTCTCCATGGTAACTGCTTTTTATATTTGGCAGGTGCCGCTCCGGTGGCCCCTGGTTACGGAGGAGGTTACCCCCAGCAGTATTACCAAGGTACCAATCCTGCTCCCTCCGCACATGTACACATGTTAAACAGCATTGATAGTAGTGACATTTGTGGACCGACGGTTGTGTCATAAATCAGTGGATGGAACAGAAGAGGGAGAGTGTGTGTGTGTGTGTGTGTTTGTGGTTCATTTCTTGTTAGAAAAAATAATAAATAATTCATCCAATTACACGTTAGCCTGTTTATTTCTGAATAGTTACTGAAACCTTTTCATTCTTAGTATGTCATCATCGTCTTTGCTGCTGCTGGAAGTCAAACATTTGACCTAATACCTGCCCCCACATAGACAAGGAGGCAGAGCATTTAACTTTTCAACTTCATTTGTTAATCTGGGGGCATAGCACAGCTCGATGGATGAAAAGACAGGAGTGCGTACTTATTGCTTCCCTTCAAGAGCCGAGAGCAAAGTGGAAAATAGAACTACTGCCATATAAAAAAAAAACGTCACCGTCCCCAATTCATCATCAAATTACCGAAACCTCTCAAGATGTTAGTTTACGGCTAATTAGTGTGGCATGTACTGTATGTTAAATTATCTTGTCCCCTTTTTCTTCTTCTCTTGTGAAAAATAAACATTTTATTTTTATTTTTTACCATTTTACCATATTTTCCTTTATTTTTGTGATAAATTGATTGAATTTGATCCTAAAAAAACACATGACTATGATACAAATAATTCATGTTAATTAATGTCCTAAGCAATGTCAGCAGAACAGGCTTTAAAAATGTATTTCTTGTATCTCAAATTCAAAACATGGGAGGATGACTCTGCATAACACAATTAAATTGTGCTTGAATAATGATGACCTGCCTTTTCCTCCTGATTACAGAGAGATGAATTGGATTATATAGACAGAGAAGTTTTATTGATGTTTAATCTAATCTTCTTTCCATTTGTCAAAAACAACAGAATGTTTTCTTCTGTTTCGGACGTCATGCTATTGAAATTGCAGAAACTTAAATTGGAAAAAATAGGATTTCTTTTCTGGGTCTTTGCAATGCAAAACACAAACGAGAAACGGTGATTGTGTATCCAAGTCCGCTGCTGTTACCAACCGACCTCCCTCACCGCATCCTCTCTAGTGTGAGGTATCGAAAGAGGTTTCATCCTACTCTAATGGTACCATCTCATCTCTCATGATGCTGTCTAGGTGGATATGTACCGGCCCCACTGACTCCTCAACAAGGTACCGCCGGTCTCCTCACATGTGCAATCATAAAAACACCACCTTAGAAAGTGACATTACCAAAATGTAAAAACGTCCCTTGCAATGTTCTCTCTCTCTGCTCGTTGGCGACAACGTCAGATTATTTGGATGAGATTGGAGGCGCGTGGGTTGTCATTGTGTGCGCTTGTCAGATGGCACGGCACAACCAGTACATTCAACACATGATAATCTGCAACTTCCTGAACATAACAGGTTGCGGACGGTGGGATTATTTAATAGAAACACGTCCGGTTTCTTAGATAACTGCAGACATCGCTTTGAACAGTATCTGATGTTTTGCCAGTTTTCGAGGACACTTCTGTGAACGTACGTTATTTATGGACAGGATGTACATATGAACTTCCAACGCCTTGTGAACCAGTTTCCCACTGCCAGTGTGTGTGAACGCGAGCGTGACGGTTGTCTCTGTGTCTTAGTCATGGGATTACATTACACGCAATACTACAACATACAGCCTCCCGTGATTGACATGTATGTTCCAAAGAGACACGAGTATTGTACATGTAGGTAAATTAGATAGTTGACTCACAAATAGGACTTTAGTCGTTCTCTCATATGAATAAAGGCTGGGTAAGAATGCCATTGCTATATATTTTCATATGCAATATGATTTAACTAATCATTATATTAGATGTAACAGGAATATGAAATTAGAATAGTACTTCTTGTAATGCCTTTTGTCCACTAGTGAGTGCAGATTTTTTCAAACTAGACGTTGCTTGTAGTTTCTAGCAAAAATCCATCTAATTTAAACACCATCTTTAGTGTATAAGGGCTTCTCTGGGCCGTTGGCAGCACAGTGTAGGTTCTTCACTCAGTCATAATAGTGTGTATAAATAGAGTAATCAGCTGATTCATTTCTTGCTCTGCAGCCAAAGCAGCAAAGTACGGTCCATTGCAGAGCTTCCTTGGTGGTGCTGGAGGAGGAGGAGGAGGTGGAGGAGTCTACAGAGGTAAAATATTGTTTACTATCTCCGGTCGGTCTGAGCAAACAATGTAGAAAAGGGTGAAGTGTAATATTTGGTATCTTGGGTTGTTCATTGCTGCAGGTGGAGTAGCAGGATGCCAGGGAAAGTACTGTGGCAGGAGGAAGTAGATGATCTCTAGAGATCCAGTGTGACCTCAAGACACCATGGTGCTACTGCATGATAGGAAATGTACATTTTATATGCAAACAAACCCCATTAGAAAACATGTAAAGAGGTTTGGTTTTGTTTTTTTAATTGACTTCTACGTCTGTTTTTATGCAAACCCACCGACCCAGAAGTTTGTACATGCTCAGATGTGACGTGTCTTATTGATCGTGGCTTTAGTCAATGATGTGCTCAAGTTAATCAGCTATCACTCCCCTTACTACCCTTCCACTAATTAGAATTGTGTGTGTGTGTGTGTGTGTGTGTGTGTGTGCGTCACCATGTGTCGTTGTTGCGCACGAATGCGTGTGTGCGTGTATCATTGTACTGTGAGAAAGACCGACTGAACGTCGCCTGTTGATGTGACACGTGAGTGACTTCTCTTTCGGTTTTAATCATGAATCAAGGTGGACTGTCCTCAGCCACATAAGACCTCGCTGTGCAGAGCTTGTCATCAGGTCGGGGTCGGTCCTGGCTTGTCCGAAAATGGATGAAATGTGGCCAATCCCAATGTCGTCTCTTGGCTCCCCGTCTTCTCTGCTGCTATTTTAAGCCTGCTTTATACCCAGCAGGAATTGGGGTTCTGGACAACCCATCTGCTCTCAGTAACTTTGAAGATTTTAGGTGCTACGCGGTTCAGTTTTCCATGAATTTCTAACGTTGCCAAACTTGTGATGTATGAAGAAGCAGTGTTTGCTGAAGACGTTACAGGGGAAGCCTTCAAAGTATATCAAAAAAGCCTAAAATACTACTCTGGCGTTTTCATTACATATGTGTGAATGTTTCATTAAGTGTCTCAAATAGAGCGCTTTATTATGCTTCCAATGTTTAGTCTCATTATAGCAGTTATTTACATTTATTTGTCATCACATGATGCACCATTCTTTGACTAATATCTTAATTGCAACATTCTTTGACTAATAGCTTTATTGTTACCAGGAATGCGTGAACGATCCTTTCCTTCTGCATTATTCAGCGGTTAGAATCGTAAAACTGAATTTTGTTTATTGGGAGAGACTAAGTGTTAGTGAGAGGTATGATCCCACTGTTCATCCTTTACTTGAGCTGCTTTTACAAAGGCTCACCAACCAAAGGTCCATGAGCGCTGTTGCCAAGTGACCCGATCTCTCTCTGTGGTTGTGTACTGTATTTTGTGTACTAAATTGATAAACGCAGGCTTTGGTTCCTTCACTCTGCGCTGTGTAAGAAATGTCTTTGAGCCCCGCTGGGTCTGACCTGGTCCTATGTGCCATGGGATAGTCTTCATCTTTATTTAAAACTGTTTTTTTATAAGGAGGAACAGTGTGGTTTTGCACTTTTTATATTTCCATGTGACACATGTGACTTGTTCGTGGAATCCAGCATCAATTTGCTTCATTAAAAAACAAAATACAATGTGTAAAAAAAGATATTGCGTTGTCCTGCTTTGTTTTTGTGATTGCTTTTCACAGGCGCATCAATTTGTCCCTCAAAGTGCCTCGGCTGGTAGATCAGTTTGCTGCAAGCATCATGCCACAAAGTAATAATATCGCAGGTGTTAGTCTTTACTGTTTGTCCCACTGGGCAAAAATGAATCAGGAACGATGACATTTAGTGTGTTTAATTAGTTGGCACCGCTCTTGGTTGTAATGACAATAAACAGATGGGGGGGGGCGGCTTTGTGCCTCAGCGGTAACTTAACTGACTGTTCTTGTGGTGCCAGCTGGAAATAATGAACTCATGTTGCTGTTCTCCCGAGATCTCCTGGGAGGACCAGTGACCCGTGCGCTGCACCCTGGACATCTAGTTCACCATCAGCAGAAGTAAACGTCCCACTTTGGAAATAGTGTCACTGTGGAACTGTAGTATAATATTGTAGGTACTTCTACAAAGGGGTAACTATGTGGTACCAAGAATTAGGGAAAACTCTTTTGGGCTTGTGTTTGTTGTTGTGTTGTTCCTAAAAGGAATGCTTAGTTTAAATCCAAGAGAATATTAATTCATCATAATCCTTTTTTACATCTTGGGGTTCACTTTTATCTCTTAACATTTTTCCATTGACTCCAGTGACAAAGAAAACGATGCATTTTTTGCTGCAGAAACCCATCTCTATATATTGCTATATTTTATGTTTACATTGAACATATCAACTAAATAAAAGGAGGTTATCATTATGTACTCATTTGCCGCTCATTGGTGTTTCCTGCACTGCGCCGGCCCCCCCCCTGAAGACATGCATTCATTAAAGCAACGAGCGCTGCTGGTTGGCCGCCACTCGTCCTCCTCTCCCCGGCTCAGCTGCTTCATTGGTCGGCAGTCTCTCTTGAATCAAGCGCCGCACAGACGTGCATCGGCGCCGGGGAGGAAGCATCGCGGGCCGCCGCAGGGAGGGACCGAAGCGAACCGCGACAGGACCGCTGCGCTGCTGCTGCTGCTGCTGCTGCTGCTGGGGGTGCTGGAGCTGCTGGTGGCCCGTCGGACATCACCGTTCATCTGACGACCCTGAGGCGGCTGGCTCTTTAGCCGGAGCTCGGTATCCAAAGAGTGGATGAGGTTGATGCTGCTCTGCTGCACCTGGAAGGACGAACGCATGGGAGAGGAGGAAGGTGAGGAGCCGCCGCTGGGCGCGCAGGGGCGGGAAGACGCTGTTCCACCCCGTCACGCTTTCCACTACCCCCCCTTTCCCCCTCCGTTGACCGGCGCTTATGGGCAATATTACGCGGCATCGGAGGTTTTTTTGGTCTGCGTGTCCGTATTGTGGTGCCGCCGCAGCCGTGTCTCGTGTTCGGATGCGGCGGTCTCAGGCCACGCGCGCAGCACTCTCATCCATTCGACCTAGAGGATGTGCGCATGTGTTCAGCGTGTGACAAGCAGAAGCAATTTACAGTGATCAAACTAATGCGAGGACTGTGACGTCATTAATGCGAAATGAGACACTTTTATTATGTGCATCTGGAGTTATTGTTCTGCATGACACATAAAGGTTTTACAGAGTTGCAGAGTTGAGTTGCAGATAATAGCATCAACGATTCAAATCCTCAGTTATCTCTTCCTGGTTCACTGGCTTGATTTAATGATGCCTCTCAGAACATGATAACCAAGTTTTTCCTCAATCTAATTTGCTGAGAGGAACATTATCTGAAGAAATGATGCCAGCACAATGGTTTGGTGGTTTGTTGGGTGTTTTAACAAATGTATTCATGCTACACAAAGCATTGGCCTTTGGAATAATGTTTGATCTTTTTAAATTTATTAATAAATGGCCTATTTTTTTGTTGAATTGGAACGATAATTATATATTATTAGAATATTGTTTTAATAAATGCTGGGAACAATTGCTCTAGAACAAGCGTTGGAATAATTATTTGTGTATCACTGTAAATACGTTTCGTTTCGAGACACTATTGCACTGTAGTTGTCATTCAGCCTCGATCATGACTACTCACCTTTAATGTAATAACTCACTGTGCAGGACGAACCTCTGCGGGAGTTTTTGCAAGTCATGATTTGGGAGGGATGGGACACCTGCTAGGAAAAAGTAGTGTGAGTGTGAGTCCGTGTTAGAAGGCAGGTGTTTGTGCGCTTTTTGCTAAGGTATTTGCATCCTCTCTGAAACCTTTGCAGACAGCAGAGGTCCAGTTTTCAAATATAAAAAATCCCCGGTAAAGAGAATGAGGTGAAACCCATTCATTAGTAAAGAGGGGAAGGGAGGGGAACAGGAGAAAAAAAAGCCATCAGCACGAACCAGCGAGTTTTCAAGCCAATCGGATCAATATATTTACTCCAGCAAGGCGGCTCAGTCATTACAGAAATGAGCCGACCGCAGAGGAACCTCCGCCATCAAAGGATGGAGGAGTAATCAAAACCTCTGCTTTGTTCTCCTGTGATCCAACATTGATCCAACAATATACAGACATCGAGCTGCGGGTTAAACTCTGAACTGATCTGCACTCAGGACCGTTACATTTATTCTAGCTGTTAGCTAGCTCAGTAAATAACAGTATAAATGTAATAAATACAGTGCACGCTGTTTTATTTTTCAGCTGCAGAAACATCACCGATCATTTCCTGCATTGTGTAATTTGCACGCAGGCTCAGGTCAAGTGAAATGTTTTTGTAGTTTCACTTTAAAAAATAATTTAGGAATTGAAATATTGTCTGCTTTTATGCTAAGAAGGTGGGAACAGGCAAAAACTGTCACTATAATTCAACAAAGTGTCTTTCTGAACTCTGATCATGTGAATCACTCATTTCAAGAACCCAGCAATGTTATTTGAGAATATTGTGAACGTTGTTCATCTGTAGCTTCTTCTTCCACTCAACGATTCAAGCCTACTAATGACGGGATTATCGCCTTTATGTCCATTCATCCGAGACTTATATCATAGTTAATATTCTCCCTTTAGAGAAGTTTACTCTTTTATTAAAAATGATAAATGATTTGTCACGTAAGCAGAATTACAAAAAAATGGTGTTCCTAGTGCTACAATATTTTGACCAAGATTCACTGGTTAATGATTACGATTTATTGCTCTCATACTATATTTAACCGGACTACAAACAATTTTGTTTCAGTTTCATTATATAACTTTGAGAAAGAAAGCACTTAAGAAATAATCTGTATATAACAGCAACAGGCTTGTTCTATTTTTCTAAATGTAATGATTTGATATAAATACGATATCTGTTGATGTGCCTGTTGAATGTTGTTTAAAATGAAGAAGCATTTATTCTGTGCTGTTTGTTTGCTACCCGGAGCCTCAGTGAGGATTTGCATGGAAGGCGAGTTAAGAACAGAGATAGCAGTCACATGCAAACCCATATCAGCGAATATGACACGTCGTCAAAGGACTGCCATTGATTCTATGCGAATTGCACCATAAAGCCGTAGATGCCAGTTCCTCCTGTAACCTCCAATCTCTCGCGTTTTCAGCCGGAGGACGTTTGCCCGTGTGCGCGGGATGCAAACAGAGGATCTACGATGAGCAGTACCTCCAGGCCCTCAGCTGTGACTGGCACAGCGTCTGCTTCAGGTCTGTGCAACACTAGCCCACCTCCCTCCCGCCCCGGCATGTCCACACGAGTCTTAAAAGGTCAGGTGATGGGGGCGTCTTCTTGACCCGCTGGATGAGTGTGGAGCTGAAAACCATTAGTCCATGGCAGGGTTGGGTCACTGGAAAGAAAATAAATCCACCTTCTGCTGCAATTTTTCTCCCCGTGTCTCTCCCTCCTCTCCTTCTCCATCATCCCTTCTGCTGTCCAATGGAGCGGTTAATGGACATCAAAATAAAAATAGGTATTATAAATAATCACATACAATGAGCACTGATGAACAAACAAAACGTTTGTGGGAAGTTTAAGCAATAACAGTAGCTGGTTTCATCTCTTTTCTCTGCCATGCGTCGCAGCAAATCAAATAGCGTTTAGAATTAATTGTTAAAAAAAATATATGTTGTTAAGGAAAAGATCAGTTCGGGTGATCGTTTAAACACGTTTATTACTCCTATAATTCATATGACTCACCACGGACACAGAAGCTCAGTAGCTCCTCACAATTGAGCGGTTTGAAAACCTGTTTGAATAATGAAAAAAAAAAAGAATGACATCAAATGACGATAAAGCATTGACTTTAATTCAGCTCCTTAAAGCTTAAAGCAGCTCCTTTTTAAAGGATGCCTTCAGTTTGTTGGATTTTTGATGGATTGTTCTGCGGCACATTGTGTGAGTGGGCAGTGAGACTTCACGTGTCTCTGTGTGAATTCATCACATTGCTTGGATTTCAACCACTATTACGGTTTTTAACATTGAGCATTACAACATGTAATATACTGTATGTCTGTGGCTTAACTGATCGGATTAAAGGAATGCAGAAATCATGTTTTCGTAGCCTCCTAAACCATGATATTATTTGATTATTGTAAACCTTATATACCCATATATATGGGTACATATGTGTATGTATATATACATATTAGAACCGCACAGATACAAATCTACATCATCACATTCCCTTTGAAGGCATCTTTTAAGAGCACCTACATGCTACATGTTCGTCATTCTATTGTCACTCAATCTTCAGATCAATACACTTGCATCAGGTCAAATAACTCTTTGAATATAAACAGATTCACAGATAGTGGAGACACACTAATGGTCATTGATTCTTTGAAGATAAATTGTAATCGGAGACTTCCGCTCTTTGTGCGATTGAAGGGTCATATATTTGCTTTTTGCAGCAAATGTTTTCACCACTGGAATTTCCCTCGATTAATTAAAAACATTTAACATATTTTTTCCATGCAGCTCGCTGCACAACAGAAACTTAAATACATTTAGCAAAAACAGAGACCCGTCAACCACACCTGCATCACGCGAGGGCCTTTTAGTGTTTGTCTGTTGTTGTTTGTGTACGATTCCATCACACTGTGGCAGAAATATAATACGCTCCCTCCCTGATAAGCCAGCGCTGATAATCCCATTAAGACGAGTGGCTTGTGCAGCCGTACCTGAAGGTACAAACCTCCGCCATGGAGGCCATTGACTCGTAGGGGCACAACACAACGGTTTATCTCCATCCGCGGGGACGTACAGGGTCCCACCGGAGGATACCACGCTGTTATTGTTCCACGTTGACTAAGAGGAGGCTCCGCAGGGGGCCTGGTGTTGTTGGAGAATCCATTTAACGGTTGAAGATGAGACAGGCGAACTTTGTGTTTCAGATGCAGCTTGAATGCAGATGCAGAGACACAAAGACACGATTAGATCTGTCTGTCGTCATTTGGCTGCATTCTTGAGATGTTTTAGAAATGCGACACTCGTCCTTTCACTCTGTTCGTCGGATTGTCGTGTGGAAAACTGACCTCTCAGTGTGTCGTTAATGATTTCCCCCGGATGGATGTCTGGACGAGAAATCTGAGGAGGCCATCTGGGCACAGGGCAGAGTGTGTTTGTTTGTGTTTGCGTGTGTGTGTGTGTGTGTGATGATGAAAGAGTGCAGAAAGGGAGTCACATCCGACTGCCTTGGTGTGAATGAAGAATTGTATTTGGTCTCATAAGTGAGTTCATTTATAGCTTACTTAAGTGCACACTCGAGTGAAGTAATTTCCCACCTTTTGGTTTGTTTGCATTTGTATGCACTTTGTAAAGCACTACTTTGTATATATTTTTGTAACTGCGGCCTCATTAGGTGCAAACTTCAGCTCCCTCAAACTCTTTCAGCTGTCCGACATCATCTCAGCCCTTCTGTGACACGACGCGCACCAACGGTGGAGTCAACAGGAGCAAAGCCATGTCAGTAAATAAGTAATAACAGCCTGGTAGTCTCCTGAAAAGTGTTGCATCCTCCTAGAAATCATCACAAATCTTTCTCTACCTTCCTCAACGTGTCTAGAAATGGTGGGGAATCTTTGACCCAGTTCCCAATCAAAGGAGCAGGATTGTCAAAGAAAAGGAGGATCCAAGAGAACCTCTCAAGACTTCTGTAGAAAATGAACTGGTGGGAGTGAGAAATGGAGCCTGCTGCTGCAAAGGAGCATCACTGCAGTGAAAAGGAAGTGGAGACAATAATAATAGCAGCTGGGAGGTCAAAAAGAAAGTCCCCAGAGTGCTGTTTGACGACTGCGGGGTCCCGGGGGGCTGGAGAGAAGAACACCTCAAAATAGCAGCGGCTCACTGTACATACATGCAGCGGCCTTCATGGGAAGATGTGCTGAGATCTGTTTTCACATTCTCCCCAAATGTCCACTGTTACTACAAACACCACAGCGCCCTCTTGACTAGGAATGCTGCTAAACATAAAACTATTATAAGGCCGAGCTACTATATATTTTACCAGCATTTTGTGGACGTTCGCTTTTGGTTCAACTTTAAAAGCTGTGTGTTTCACTGTCGTCGTAACATTTCCAGCAGAAGTTCTAAAACATTAACTAATGATTCAAGTGTCTCAGTAAATCAGTGGGACCAGGACCCTGAAACCGGAGCAGCTACATGGAATTCAGCCCCTTTTCTCCACATATTTTACACCTGCGCTTTTCATTCAGTGGCATGTGAAGAAAAAGACCAACAGTATATTATCAAACGATTGTGGTAATTACTTTTTTGGTTTAAGTGCCAAAAAACCAAAGTCTTCCTATCGATGCAGATGAGAGTGAACTTTAGCGTTACGTTCCTTACAGCTGTTGAATGAAACGGGACCGAAACGTATCCATTCATAAATATGTTTGAGCTCTTCATCAAGAAAAAAGAAGTTCCAAAGCCTTCATGCAGGTGCATTAAAAAGGATTCTTTTAAAGCAGCCCTCAATATTTGAGTAAAGACACCAGCTGTACTAAGAAGGTGATGCTGGAGACCAAACCGCTTGTTGCCTCGTGCGAATGAGGAACAAGGGGATCTCTGGTCCTTTTGGTTTCATGTTCTTCATCCACTGTGTGGACATTTTACAATCTTGTCCTATTGTCTTCAATGCCGAGTCAAATCAGTATTGTCAAATGCATTTATTGCCGTTTGTTACCATTTGTCTGTAGCTTTAGCGGCTTCACCGTGTCACTAAACATGCTGAAGCATCTTATCAATATGTGCTCGTTCTTTGACTGCAGCCCTGAAAGCTCGAGCCGTGCTGCAGTTGGTCTGCAGTGCAGCACCGTCCCGCTGCCAACCAAACTGTCTCTGCTTCCACAGTCGTCCCAGAGGACGGCGAGGGCTCGCTCTTCGTTAACACTTCCAGTGTGCATTTACTGATCATGTGCGCTGTTTTTCTAATGTCGGGTAAGAAAGCCACCATCTGCCACAGGACACACTTCTGCCTCCGTCTGTCCTTCTACACCCTGACTCACATCCGCACCAGCTACATTATGGCCACTGTCTAAATAAAAGATACAAAAAAATCACCTAATAACTACAATAACAGCTGTGTGCAGATGTGGCAGAGTCTCATTTATAGCACATCTCTCCTTGCAGCTCTCTGAAAACCAGGAATTGGGGCTCAGAAACAGACAACACGAGGGGCTGCAGTGACTCGGCAGTTTCTGCCTGCAGATGAAGTCTGCCCGGTGACAGAAGGATGATTCACGGCTCCTACGGGTCGGATTGTTTACTGAGTCAGTAAAAAGTGCTTGTCAGTATTGACGGTTCATCGGTGTTAATGTGGCGAGACTTTTCTGTTTCAGCATCTCACACGTGAGGATTTGATGCTTTCCTTTATGATATATTGTACTTGTTATTAAATAGACAATTCTATTTGTATCTGAATCTGAAATTCTAACAGTTTGCTGTCAGTTTTCGATCATGTAGAAAAGGTGTTACTCAGGAGAGTTTTGAAGCAGATGTTCATACTTTTGAGGTTCAGGAAGACATCAAATTAGTACATTGGCCGATATGTTTTCATTTGAAAATGTTTGAGTAACAAACATTTATATATAATACCAATATATACCATGTATATTAATGATAGGTGATATTCTACACATGCCAAATCATCCAGCAGGCTCCTCCGTGTCCGAGTCCAGATGTCAGAGGATGTTTGGATCCCTCTGAGCAGTTGGTCGGTGACGCCGATACAAGTTCAGGCGATATCCGACTCAGCTGGTTTGTGAACAGACGCGCCGCAGCCCGGAGGACACGTCGTGTTTGTGTAACTGTGAGTTCAGCCACGCTCTCAAATGAGGTCATTCTTCACACAGCTCAACTTGTGCGATCACTGTTGTGTTATCGAGGGTGAGGCACTTCGCTCCGGGGGGGTTGACAGATGAAATGAGTTGAGACGAGGTGGGAGGGTGGAGCGCAGGATGCACAATAAGCATGAGTGTGATCTAGTCTGCGTATGTTAGAGAATAGTTCATGGAAATGGGGAGTTGACATTAGCAGGGTGGCTCTGATGAGGATGGAAAGAAGAAAAGGCCATGCAGTGGGAGGGGCAGAGGACAGGAAATAGTTGATGTAGAAGCGTGACCCCCTCTGTGCAGCTGCACTGAGAGGAAGTGGAGGAAGGGAAAGAGAGAGCGAGAGAGAGATAGAGCCTCACTGATGGCTGTGACAG